TATAGCCCGGCCACCGCCTTTTTCCTATCCGATGGAGTTTTGTCCCGTAAATTTTGTAAATAATTGTAAATACTTGAATATATATTTTTGCACATTTATTATCATGCATTTTCCCTTTTCTATGTGGCTACTGTGCACCTGAGAAGCTCGGGGGTAATACCTCGGGGGGAGGCGAGGCAGTCTGCCACAGAAACCTCTTCTCTCTCTTAAATTTGGTTGTTTAATCTCGCTACATAATTTTAATTTTCACTCAGTAAATGTTACTGAACCCCAACTTTCACCATTCATTCGCGCTTCGGCGATTTATTATTTATTCCCACTCAGATGAACTAGTTAGAGCCCCTGACGGGGCTGATGCTAAGATAACCACCACATATGAGTATGAGATTTACAATAAAATTTGGGTTCATGCGCACTACATGTTCACTTTTTAAATTGTCTGCGCAGACTACCTATGAGAAACAGTGTGGAGTCTTTCTGATGTCGGAGGTGATGCCCCTGCTCTCTGACGCTCCCCAACCCCCGGAGATTGCTATGTAATCTCATATGGTTAGCATACTCGCAACTAAGTCAGTTCCATCTGAAATGTGATGTAGCGTAAAATCTTAAGAATTTAAATCAATTATTTAAACCCTTAAAACTAATTCATCTTTAAAAATAAAATGTTTAGTTAAGAATATAAAAAAATTTAACTAAAATAATAAAATAAAATAAAAAAATTTAACTGAAAATAAATTATATGGAATGGAAAAACTTGCAGAAACAGAACAATAATTATGCTTTTTTTATAAAAAATGTAAGAACACAATCTTTCAGCGTTAAGTTTTTCATAACTGTCATCAACGCTTTCTTTTGCTTCCCCAGTAAGTTTTTTTATTGTACTTAAACAACACGACTAATATTCACTTATCAATGAAAAACAACAACAATGAATAAAATTATTGATGTAGAGCTTGCATAAGTATTAATTAAAACATAATATAAAACACATTGATTGTTGATATGGAATATTCGCTTTTAGCATTTCACTTCTTCTCAACTTTTATCTCAATTTGCTTAAACTTTTAATTTTACCTGCGAGAAAAAAATTTTAATTCATAAATTTGAAAACAGGTACGTTTAAGCTTTCATGTTTATGTCAGCTCACACGCTTGATATTTCAATTCTCTTTGCGAACGCAAAAATGAAATGAGCACCTTCATTGTCACTTTCAGATCCTACATACCTAAACAATAATTACATTTTTTAGTAAGTTCAACCGCCCTTCCGAGTTTGTCCCAGATCGTAGGATTATCTTGTAGATTAAAAGCTTTGAAATTGCTTGATGTCTATTTGGTTATGAAAAATTATGAAAGAAATTCTGTTCGCTATTATTAATGTAATTAGAATAACAATATTTAAAAAAAAATTTACCGCAAGAAACGCAAATGCTGGCAGCTATACTATGTTTGAATTACTTTACTGTGTATGAATTACTTTACTTTGAACTATGTTTTTTTTATTAAACTTTATAACTCCACATACATCATTTATATTTCAAATTAAAGTTGGCAGCTATGGTAAATTAATGTTTGAATTTGGTTACACTTAAAAATTGTTATCTTGGACAGCCAAACAATAAGTTATTGTTATTATAACATATTAATTTTTAGAGATGTTTGCTATTGTCTAAAAAATTATTTGCTTTATCTTTTAATTTTTGAAAATTTAAGAAAATGAACTGAACTGAATTTATTAATTGTACTAATCTGGCCGCTAGCAATTCAGCAAGCAATGTAAAAAAAATAAATAATAATAATAATTATTAAAAAATGTTACAGTAGAAGAGAAGAAGCGGGTCAATTACCTTCATAAAATATTACAAATAAAGTAATAAATAATGTAAAGTGTTTCCGTAAAATTCACCTTGTAATAAAAACAAGTTATTTAAGGAATCTCTCTATCTCCATAATATATCATGTAGTTGAATAGAGGAGAAAAAGTGATGATTATGTGATACAGACAGGTGATAAACAGATGTTATTTACACGTTTTGGTACTTAGAAAAAGAGACGATAATGCAATAGAAAGCTGTTATGGGCCTTATTGATACCGTGACCAAGCCCGTCAGGACCTTGATCGCATGATTCTCATTTCTGAGCCACCATGTCATATGCAAAACGAACCATTCTGACTCTAGCGGCTCTAGATCACATGGACGGGATCTTTCAATACCGTATTCTCGTATTAGTACGTATACTCTCGGAATACGAGGGACGGGGAAAACATTTCTTTCTCATTCTGCCTTTCCTAAAGTGTTTAATCGATTAAAATAATTAATTGTGAAACCATAATATGTTACGCGTGATTAGTTGTAAAAATTAAATAAAGTGAAAGATAAAAAATTACTGTGGTTGTTAATAATTACATATTATTTATTTTAACACGTGAATGCTACGCTAATTTTGTATGGCTTGCCCGTCTGGCCATACGGTAAATAACTATAAACTAAATTTGGAAAATTAGACAGATTTTACTCGTTTTTTTAAAGGTTTAGCAAGACATTATTAAATAGTGGTGAATTATTTAAACCTAAGAATTTTTTGGAAATAGTGGTGGATAAAAATCTACTAAATTAAATTTATTAAACCAAGAATCACAATTAATAAACTACCACTTGAAAATATTTATTCGCTGTCCGGAGCAAGTTGTCATCTCTGTGTATATAAATAAAAGTATTTTTGTGTGTTCTATATTGCATTAATTTATTCAAGCCATTTTAGTAACGATAATAATACAAAAAAAATAAAAATTTACTCGAATTATATGTTTCTAATAATCTTGGCTTCGCCGGTGATCCCCGTGGAGCTACGAACAGACTCAGTGCCGGTCACCAGTGACCCCCATGGCATTCAACGTGTTAATAACAAGATCACCTGGTGATCAAAATACATGATTTTCCTCAAAAATAGATTATTAATGTTGTATACCAAGATTTAATTCTCGTAACCTTTCGCGAGCAGAAAGTTTTAATCAAAAAATTTTAGTAAGAAAAAGTCATGAGAAATGTGGTTATTGTTAGGGTCGGCTACAAGCAGGTGATTTATAACTTTTCATTTTTAAAAATTTTAAGTGGTCATAAATAAAACCCGTTAATTTAAGCGGTAAAAACTGTTACTATTTCAGTGGTTTATATTATAATAAAAAATAAAACGGACAGTTTTCATCCCACCATCCCTGAAAAAATGAAAAAGATTGTGGTCACTTCTTCCAAAAGATTTTCAACATCTTTATGAAATATTACATTTGTTTTAAATGTAACGAATAGTGTTTTTCGTATAAACACACAAACTTATCAGCTGTAGATATGATGCCATTTTTCCAACAAGTTATGGGACATAAACTGTAATAATAATCACTAGGGAAACACATTTTAATTCAAGCCATCAAAATATCACAAATTATTTTTGAAACTGAACTGCTAACTTGTTCGCTTTTTTTACAAATTTCACGATTATTTTTTTTTTACTCGCGTCTAAATAATCCTATACTATACACGAGTTTTTAAACTTTGAATATTTTTAAAATTTATTTAATATTTGATCAATATTGAAAGAACTTATTCCGAAATATTTATTGGAACCACGCAAGCCATTGACGCCGCCATTCTTGAACTGAGGGAAAAAATCAATAGCTTCATAGGTTAACTAATCAAACTAAAGGAGAAATGGCTAGACACGTTGGGACGTGAAGTTGAAATTTCAGATCTTATTGCGATCTTATCTTCAGCGATCTTATTTAGCGAAATAATTTATTTTATTTTTTTAGTTACTTTGAGTGTAAAAGCAAATTCAATTTCATTTATGATTTAAATAATTTCTGAAGGGGATCATTAAGAAAAAAGTCGTATTTAATATTTTTTAGTTTATAAAAAATTTATAATATTAAAAATTTAAGCATAATGTAAAAGTTAAAATTTAGCGTAAAAATAACGTACATTTTTCGTTGTAAAAATTTAAACATAAATATCTGAAAAATTTAAACATAGTTAAATTTAATTTAACATTTAAGTTTAATTCAAAATTTCCCCTGATATCGCTATACAAAAACTATGATTATGTTAACTCTGCCTGTTATCCTAAGCAGTCGGAAGTAAAATATTTTAAATTTAGCATGTTGAATTGTATTTCTAAAGTCTAAATTGATGAAATTTGATGAATCATTGATATATACAATTGATGAATCATTGATATCTACAATTAATGAATCATTGAGAGTCCATCAGGGCTGGTACTGAATAACGAGAACAATTCTAATTATATCGTATTGAGGCTTTTAAACTATTCGCAATATTGCCAAATATTCTGAGTTTTAGTATAACTTTTAATATTTAATTGCCTACATCTCAATGAAGTAGTTGGCAGCTCTGTTAGATATCGCAAAATTTCAAGTTCAATAAACGAGATACATTAAAGAGCTAATATGCAGTATTTAATAGTTAAAGTAGTAGGTAGCTATTTCATTATGATTTATGTAGTTATTTAGTTTTATTTCATTTACTTTGTGCTATGACAACACTGCTTAACAATATTTAACCATAACTATGTTTAAATAATTATCTTCTTATAAGTATAAAAAAAAATATCACAAAAAGATAAAAATTTATCCATTTTAATGCCGATTATTTGAAGGGGGAAAATGCGTTATTAGCTAAATTATGCTCTTTATTTAATTTTTGAAGGTTTTACGAAAGATGATATCGGAGAAACACTAAGTGTTAGTTAGTGTAAATGAATGCAGAATATAGTTTTTTAATTCAATATGAATTTTTTGTGATATTAAAGGTTTGTAGTGACGTTACATTCCATTTATCACATATGATCTGCCTTGTGTTTCTAATCTAATCGTTCTTCTAATCGCTTACTAATTCTTTATCTTTAATTTTGAAAAGTGATAATTTTTTACAAAGATAAAATTTACGTCCTAGCTATCCATAAAATTAAAATTGATAATATTTTCAGGTCTTGTTTCGTTCAAACAAATGCAGGATATGAGTGGTGAAAAAGTTGCCGAAATGGATGATGCTTTAGCTTCACAAAAAGTAAAGAATTATCAAACCAATGGCTCCACTCCAACCACTGAACAACCACCTAAAGACAGGTAAATTAAAAAGCTTTTTTTTGTTCCTTAATTCTCTCTTTAAATTATGTATTTGTTACGGCTAAAATGCAAAAGCCAGTTATTCTAAAGATTATTTAACTTATATGTGTAGATTAACAAGGCTGATTCGTTAAAATACCAAAAAATGTTTCCTTTTTCAAATTATGTAGGTAGTTTGCTAACTACCAAGATATTCTTACCACAATATTTATCAGACTTTCGCAGAGAAATAAAATCTTTGCCGGAACAACATCGTACCTGCCTGCCAACTTTTACGCATTTGGCGTAAAATTTTATTTTTATATATAAAGTGGTAGTAAATATATACTATTTTTTTCTTTTATAAACTAAATTTTTAAATGATTTTCATCACCACTATTCTTAAAAAAATTAAGCATATATATTAATATGCGTTATTATCATGATATGCAGCTGAAGCTTCTTCAATTACAACGTATTTTTTTGCTTAAAATTGAAATTTTTATTCCATTTTAATACCACTGGGAAAAATCAAAAAATGGAAGGGATTAAAAGTTGGCAGGTATGCAACATAAACGTTTGTATACGTTTAACACGTTGAATGCCATGGGGGTCACCGGTGACCGGTACTGAGTTTGTTCGTAGGGTTACGGGGGAGGGCAGATTATTAGAAACACATAATTCGAGTAAATTTTTAATGCTTTTAATTTTTTTATATTATTATCGTAACTAAAATTCTTTGAAAAAATTAATGCAATATGGAACACACAAAAATAGTTCTATTTATATACACAGAGATGCCAACTTGCACCGGACAGCGAATAAATATTTTCAAGTGATAGTTTAATAATTGTGATTCTTTGTTTAATAAATTCAATTTAGTAGATTTTTATCCGCCACTACTTCTAAACAATTCGGCTTATATAATTCAAAAACTTTTTCAGATTTGTCAAGCTAAACCTTTTAAAAAACCAGCAAAGTCTGTCTAATATTTACAAATTTAGTTCGCAGTTATTTACCGTTTGGCCAGACTGGCAAGCCATGTAAAATTAGCGTGGCATTCAACGTGTTAATCACTTCGTTACGATCGTGGTACTTAGTCGGCATATTCGTGATACTTCGTGTTTAAGAGCGCCGTATTTAGCTGCCATCCACGCGTTGTACTGTGAGCACGAGCGTTATTGTAATAAGCCCTGCAGCCGGGCTTGACGTGATACCGTTTGGTAACTGCACCAATCTACCGTGCTGCTGGCTAATATCCTAATGACCTGTATTGGATTAAAACCACTAAAAGTGTATTTAGTGTGCCCTTTATAAATAACAAGTTTCGTCTGTATGTTATATTTCAACTACCACTTGAAAATATTTATTCGCTGTTCGGAGCAAGTTGGCATCTCTGCCTATGTTGTTTCCTCGAGCAAAGCGCATGAACCTTATCTACAGCCAGCAAACTAAAGTTTTTGAGCAAGCTGCTACTCATTGTTTCCGAATATTTCAATTTCCTCGAGCAAAGCTACTTATCCAGCAACCACACCGATAAGCTGATCTCACAGCTTTTAAACAAACTTTAAAACAAATTCATGGCGGATGGGATAGCGGCCGCAATTTCAGAGCACTACTATGACTATTATATATGTTATATTTAGGAGAGAATTATAGTCTAGCTACAAAAAATATGATACGAAATATTATCACGTTCAGTGGCGTCACTTCAGCTTAGAGAACTGCAGTAACGAAAGGGTTAAAAGAACAAAGTATTACACACTTATTATTCGTCATCTAAATTATCAGGTTATAACAATCACAGCGATGCCAATTTCCTCCGCTTTGTAAAAAAAATATTTTCTAGTGGTTACAAAATTTTAGTTCTTTTTAGCTTAATATTTTCCATTTTGTAAGTAATTTTTCCACAACTAAAGATCAGAAATTCAAAGTATCATTTGAAATGCAACTTTATTTCAGAAATCTGCTCTTGGTGACACTTTTAAAGAGTGGTTGACCTTCTTCTGTAAGTTTTACTATTTAATTCACTACCAATTTATTCAAACTTTTGCAGAAAGTGGAGCATTTGGCATCCCAGACACTGTAATGATGGATATAATTTTGTCTAATGCGGTACTTTTAACGAATTAATTGTAGTGATTAAATCCTGAACGACTTTATACAAAAACAAATTTAAAAAAACTGGTGACTAAACTTTTCGAAGTAATTAACATTTTATAAATTTAACTTCCACTTTTGCATTACAGAATCCTATTTAGTGTTTAAGCATCCATTTTCTTTCATTTCGATAACATTCTTTTTACTAGCGATAAATATCTTAAAACTTATAAATTTCCAAAAAATTTACTGAGTTTCAAATTTACAAGTTAACTTTACAAATTTACTTTTTTAAAAATTCTATATCGTGGAACCCTTCAAATGAAAGGTTTTCCCTTTACTTGGAAGCCCTTAAAATGGATAAAACTCATGAAAACAACATTTCAAAGACTAGCTCTAGACTGCGCAGCTTTCGTTAACTTCTTTTTGCCTAGCATCCTTTAAAGAGAACGTTTCCTTTTATTGAAAAAGAAAAAAAGTGATATCAAAGTTTCTCGTTATTAGGGTAATTTTGCTCAACAAAATAGTTCTGTTTAACATAATATATAANTAGAAAGCTAATAGTTTCTAGTTTAATTATTGATCAAAATCTCAAATTTGATTTTTTGAAGGTTTTTAGGTACTGAACCCCCTTAAGCTTGTGTGGTAGGTAACAGAAAGAACTATCTACTTGATATTAAAAAAATATGTATTGCTACTTTTTTATGTATAGATGCTTTTTGTTATGAAGAAACTACTTTTATAAGGTCATTCATTAATGGGTTAAACTAAAAAGAAATCGGCGTCAATATTATACTAAGACTTATAAATTCAAATTTTAGTCCTCAATTTTTTCGTTTTTTTTTTCGAATTGGTTATAAAAAATCAAATACAAAATCGTGTTTATTTTTGAAATGATGAAATCTATTGCGTATAATAACACTTAAAATATCTAAACGAAGTAAAACTGTAAATAGTCCTTGATATTAGAGAAAACAAAACTCAAAAACGTCTTTCAAATTCTCGAAAACAACACACATAACGAGAACAATACATCTCTTTTTCTTTTCATGTAATCAACACTTGACGAAACGCAATCCAGAGTGTTCTTTATGAGCTCGAAACAAGAGCTTTGAGCAATCTCTTGAACAGCTATCCAATTCTTACACCAGAGTGCAATCTAATCAATCGATAACAGAATGAAGACACGTGTCTGATAAAGAAGAGAGTCGCACGAAAGCTGCGGGAGATTCCGTTATTTGAGTAGTAAATGTGATGTTCAAGCTTTTTTTTGCAGTGGCAGAATTTGATGACATTGATCCGTTTTTGAATTTAATCATTAAAGTATATCATGCGTCATAATTTTATTGATTAAAATTTTGAACTTAAAGTTCGTCTTGTATCTGAGGCTTTAAAATTATCTTTTTCATGCAATCGCATTGCTGTTAACTTTTATGTGGTTCCCGTAACATTTTGTTTTTATATTTAAAAAGTTAGCACAGCTAATAATTTCTTAAAATTGAAATTATGGATTGATAATTTAAATTTGAAAGCGGAGCCGTTGACATCCTGTATTTGACACCACTTTTAAATTTTTTTCAGCTGTGACCACCCTGAAAGCATATTTTTGAACTTGCCAAAAACCCAAATCCATGAATAACTACGCATCTATCAACCAACCTCGTTTTTTTAGAACATTAATTTAAAATGATTTAAGCACCAACCACTACGTAAAAGTTATTTAAATATTTAGAAATCTGATAATAGTATTCATACAAAATTCTGAAGAATTTAATTTTAACTTATAATTGCCAAATTTACAGTTATAAAAAATAAAAAATCTCGAATTGGATAGCGTAAAAGATGGCAGCTATGATGTCCATTGGTAGTGAAATAACAATTAACGTGCGTTTAATTCTGCCAGTACTTAATATACCTTCCACCTTTTAAGTTCGTCAAAAAAGCATTTTTCACAGTGGTGGTGATATAATTATGGATTCGCTTTTCAATATAACTTAAAATACTAAAGGTAAGTACCGGTCTTCTTTGTATATCATTAAACTATTTAAACGTTATAGTAGTTAAAAATTGATTAAATCAATTTTTTTAAAACAAGAATCAAGCATGAATGCATAAATTTTGCTTCCAAATTTAATAAAATTTAAAACAAATATCTTTCGGAAAATTAAGTAGAGTTGGGAAATAGGACTTACGGTATCACCACGCGACTATCAAATTGCTTACATTTATTTAAAATATTTATATAAAGTGGTAGTCAAAATAATTGTCAATTATAAATTTACTGAATTAAAAATTAAAATGCTAATGAAAACTCTCCTACCACTTTGCAAATTTGACAAAAACTTATACTAAGAACAGAAGTTCGGCAGTAGATGTTAAACAATTGTTCCTTGTAATAAAGTAAAATTAAAATTAAGCACAATTAACACAACTGCAATTAACAACCACAAAGATTTTGAATCCATTCCATACTTTTACATCAACAACGTACATACTTTTACTTCTACAACGGAATTTTCGTAGTTTCAGAAAACATTTTTCCTGATAATAAATTGGAATTAAAAACATTTTTTTCGCCACTACATACAAAAAATTTAAACAGGTGCATAAAAAAATCGTATTTATCAACTGCAGTTCTTAGTTCTCATAAAAATGCAACAAAATTAGTTTTGATAAAAAAAAAATCTGCTTGCGTTTACTATCACTGGAAAAATTACTTTTCTCTTAATTTTAATATTAAATTTATTAACTTTAGCCTTGTTAACAAGTAGTCTTCTTAATTTATACCAAACAAATGAGTTCTCCTTTCAATGAGAAATTATATAAATATGATTGGCTAATTTCAATATAGAATTTTTTTAACTTTTACATTGTAAACAGATAGTCTTCTTATTTTATACCAACCAGATGACATCTCCTTTCATTCAGAAAATACATAAATATGATTGTCTAATTTCAATATTATATTTATTAACTTTTACATTGTTGACAAGTAGTCCTCTTCTAATTTTATACCAAATAAATAACTTCTCCTTTCATTTAGAAATTATATAAATATGATAGGCTAATTTCAATATGACATTTATTAACTTTAACATTGTTAATAAGTAGTTTTATTCTTTTTATTTTATACCAACCACGTGACTTCCCCTTTCATCCAGAAAATGCATAAATAAGAGTGGCAAAATTCAAAATTGCATTCACTAAATTAATATTAGTAACGAAGTGTCAGCTTTTACTAAAAAAAAAATTATTTTCATAAAAGCGTTATGTTTGATATAATTGTGTTATGTTACAGAAATTATTGTGAAAACTGAGCAATAAAAATGGAAAAAAAAATCTTTATTTAAATCGGATACGTCTGACGTAAGTAAATTAAAATCAAAAATGCTTATCTTTTTTCCCAGAAGTTACATAAATCGCTTAGATTATTTAAATAATATGTTTATTGATTTTAAATTAGAAACAAATTGTCTTCATCTTTCGTTTAACGAAAAATTTTGTTTTAAATTAAACGTTATAATTCTGAATAATAACGTTCCACTGTCGAAATCATTTTAGAAAATTAAACAATCAAATTTTTTTCCCCTTTTACAAAATAACAACATTCACCTGAAGATAAAATTAAGAGCACTTATTGAAAAAATAACATTTTTATTTGATACTACTTGGTAACTACAAAACAAATGATAACAAAAGAATAATGTCACCCATCTGTCGATATTCGACATTCAAAACAGTTCAAAATGTATAACTTGATTGTCAGAAACTGATAAGTGATGAACAGATATATCTTTTGTGACACGAATATTGATTTAGCAGTATTGAAAAGTAATATGTATTGACCATTTGTATTGACCATATGTATTGACCATATGTTTGGGAAAAGAACAGATGGTATCAACAGATATCAGTAATTAAGAAGTTATCTTAGAATGTAAAATTAAATTCTGTGGTAATCAATACGTGATGTAATATAAAAATTTTATTTATTTCTGCATCATAAATTGTTTTGGTTAGACATGTGAGCTTGGTATAAATATTACATTTTCTCTAAAAAAATATTTAAAGAATTTAACGAATAAATACTGTCAGTCGGGAAAAAAGAACAATCCAGGATCTTTGACCAAAAAATATTGAAATAACATATTTATTTATTGTTAAATGTATATTTGCACCGGCTTATGTGCTTATTACAAAGTACAACTTAAAAGTCTTTGTCAGGTTGAAGGAGAAATAGCACAAATTAAATAAGGACAACACTAATACGCTATTTAAACTAGCAGGTTTACGCTACCACTTTAAATATCGAGGTTTACTAAAGATTTTCGTTTCGGAATTCGATGAATGGGATAGGCGCCGCTTTGCTGTCCAGGTCCAAAAGAAAGAGCAAGATAAGACGTTAAGGAATTCCCATAACACAAAATTTGCTAAGCATTTGTATTTGATTTGGCTTAATCCTTTATACACCGCATACTTTAACCGGTTAACGCCCAGCGTCATATATTTAGGACAGTTCCTTTTTTCAAAGACATTCATTGTGGTGGGAAACTTTTTTCAGTATTTTCATTTATCTGGGTGAATTAAAGGATTCTCAGATACCACAATGATTTAGTTATTTCTGATTAGGTATAGAACTCTAAGGAACAAGTACTTTGTGATCTATCAAAGACTTTTTGAATGCTTTAACAGTAGAAAAACCAATTAATTTCGATAATATATTATACCACTTTTTTCATAAAACCACTTTTTGTATCATTTCAATTTATAAATTCGGGACAAAACGGTTAAAATGCTGTGTGATTTAACACGTTCACGCCGGGGTGACCCACCGGTGGGTCACGCTAGATAGTCTCATCTTGGCAGCTCAGCGGAGTAAAAACTGGTAACAATAAATTTCATTTTTTAGTTTGTTTCCGGGAATAATAAAAATCCATAACTACCAATTGCTTTTAACGGATGCAATTTTTATATTGAATTGCTTCTTCGCCATGATAAATTCCCTTACAGTGAATTGTTATTGTTGAGAATAGATTAACTCCTCCCAAATATTATCTAATATTGAAATAGTTCTTCTACCAGTATTTTCCCTTTACCCGTACCAGTATTTTCAATTTTCCCGGAGTGAACGTGTTAATGCGAGCAATGATTCATTTAAAATATAATTTGCATTATATTTACATAATTTGTTAAATTCATAAAATAATGGGGTTACTAATTATTTAAATACATAAAGTATGTAATTTTATATTGGTTACTTTTTATGTCGCATCAGAGGCGACATCGAAGAATAAAGGGTTAAATATCAAATTTAGCTGATAAATAGTTCGAAGATTGCGAAAAAATGGGATTTTTATGTTTTTAATTTATCCTATTCCCTGTTTCAGGGATAAGAAAACTGCCTACATAAACAAAGAGCACAATTTCAATTTTTAGCACGAAAGACAGATTATTTCATATCTATAGAAGAAAATTTATATTTAATAAATATTATGGCAAGCAACTAAACTTAAACGCACTCACTTTTCAAAATACATTATAAGAATTAAGTTTCCTTTCAGTATCTTTAAGAAAAATTGGCTTGTATTCCCAAAATATGAACAATATTACACCAATAGGGTTAACTCTTGTTAGTTTAAATAAAATTGTTGCTTTTCAAATTTCTGGAGATTCCGTTAAACTTGACTGTTAGATGATACGACTTTTTGTTGTTTATTGTTAGATGTATACATTTTTATTGGTAAAGAAAATTTCTGAATTTTACAGAAAATGTCAGTTTCTTCTGGAATTAAATGACGCATCTTAGTTAATGCATTTTTATAGATCAAAAACTGTGAAAGATTATCAACCAATATATTAATCCATCACTTTTGTTTCAGGTATAATGTTGTAAGGCTAACAATGTACCTATTTGGAATAACTTCATTACTGCCGTGGAATTTCTTCATCCAAGCCAATGACGTAAGATTCTTTTTTCTCTTCAATATCATAGTTGTTAACTTGTACAGTCCTTGAATGCTGCCTCACACGCGATAGATAATATCTTCCTCGATCGTGTGTACGGTCGCTGAGGAAATAATTTTTTCATAGTGCTGTTACCATTTTAACTATTAAATCTTAACTTAAACTGCTTTATTTAAAAATTTTTACTTAACGTGACGCACCGATAATTCAAGCATATGAGTTCAAGATGCGTATGTATGTAAACAAGATATGTATACAAAGTATGTATACAAGATATATTAATATTTCAATTATTTTAAGTGTTGGCGAAGCAGCTTAGTTTTTGGAATGTTTGGAATTTGGAACATTTTAAGTATTATTATTCAACCACTTTATAAAATCTTTCTCGACAACTTAAAAAGTTGGTAGCTGTACAATATGCACTAAAGAGCCCGAAAACTCGGTGTAGGTGTATGCATGGAAATAACGGACATATAGAGTTGCATAATCAATTAGAATAACGCAATGTGACCAGCAATGCCTAAAAAAGAAAATACTGACTCATACAGTTATTAAATCGGTTCCTGCTGCTACAATGCCAGTTGCCAATGTTTTATTAATACAGCCTGTAAATTAGAGCTTTCATAATGAATTATAACTTTTTTCTTTCAGTACTGGATGTTTAAGTTTCGGAACACAAGCATCCCGTTTGATACCGTAGCCGAAGACAAAACAAATCTCCAAACTTTATTCTCCAGTTATCTTGCCATAGCTAGCAAAGTTCCATATGTTGTGTTTTTACTTGTAAACGCTTATGTCAGTAACAAGTAAGTTATTTCGTTTCACTGTAAAAATTTTGCACTCACTGTGACCAAGTATCTAAAGTAACAACCCCTCACCCCCCTAAAAAAACTTTGACATTTTTGCTTTTAATGATTATTTTCATTATTTACGTAAATCAAAATAGCTCAGGTGAAACTTAATAGTAATAAATAAATTACTGAATCAAAACTTTTAAATATATGTTACAATCCAACATACATTGTTGATTAAATGAAATAATTTCATATAAAAACAAGTCTACCAATTTTCAACCATTTTTGGATAATTTCTTCGAGTTCCACAGGCAGCCTTGCTCTCACCATTTTAAATTAAATTAGAACTTTAAAATTAAATTAGAAAATTTCAAATTAAATCACCATTATTAATTAAATCACCATTTCAAATTAAATTAGAAAGAGTAAAAAATGGTAGTAACTCAATACCCATTTATTTATTTATTTTCTCTTTAATTATTCAGTCGTAAGTACCACCATGATTTATATTTCAAATTATTCGCATTTAGAACAAAAACATCCGTAGCATTCACTTACTATCTAAAAAAAATATGTCACAAAAAATGCTAATTTTAATTCCAATTAATAAAATTTTGAATTTTTTATTCAGCAATTTTTGCACTTTTAGATGAACGGGGCATGGCACACCAGAGGGAGTATAAATCATAGAAATATCTCATTTTTTCGAGTTAAATGTTTCAAAAGATTAGAATTAAGATAGTAAGTTACATATTATACTTTATATATATATATATAATTCCAAATGTTCACACATTTGAAAAAAATAGTGATACATAAATTATTTTCAGAAAATAATTCCTAAAAATAAATGTTGTTAATTTATCAAAATAAATATATCCAATTCTACCTTTTTTTCGTAGTGAAACAAAAGTTTAAAAAATTATGACAAAGATTATCAGTATAGTATTTTATCGTTTTGTATATTATTTAAGGATTAGAACTTATTATTAAGAAATAATAAGTAGAGAATTTTAGGTAAGAAAAAAAAACAACAACTATGAAATAAAACGAAAAAATACATATTTTTTCGTTTTAATAATGTATAATGCATAAATTAAAGAAACAGAGAACAATTAAAAAAAGTTAAACTCATCTAAATTAAGCTGGTACTCGGTATCATTCGGCACAGAGAATGAGTCTATTGTTTACGGAGAACTCATAATAGTTATGATCACAATCAAGCCATCTTCTTCATTAATTTCATTCTTTAGTGCATAACTCATTTTTTAATCTTTAAATACTGTAGATTTTAAATTATCTAGTTTTTAAGAAAACGTTTCAAATGTGTAATAATAGACAAAATATGTATGTACAGTAGAGTCCCGATTATCCGAGCTCCGGTTATCTGAGTTTCCGCTTTAACCGAGCTATCAAATATTTCAAAGATTTTCTTTGTTCTAGTTTATTTTTAAAAAAAACCGCTGAAAAATGAATCTGAATTTTATCTTCCAAACACTCAGAAAAACAAAATCCAACAACTTGGTCTGATGAAATTATCGTTAATATCGTCAATAATGATAATGAATCTAGCGAAGATGATGAAGACAGTGGTTATTAAAATCAACATATGAAAATCTCTCATACAGATGGACTAAAAGCTATCGAATGTACTATTGAATATATAGAACAACAAAACGAGGCGACACCCGCCTTCCTGTGGCGAAACATTACTACAGAAAAGCGCCAAAGTTACGTAGAATGAAAAACGATTAAGGACTTTTTTTAAGTAAAAACTATTTAATTCTCGTAAAGTATACTTTTTAAATGTTTTTAAGTAAGCTTTCTAATTATAATATGAATTGTATGTGGTATACTCGTATACATTTTGTATTTCTTAAATATAATACATTTATACCTTCTCTTTTTCTTTCCGTTTTTCTACTCTTCGCTTTAACTGAGTTTTTCAGTTATCCGAGTTTGTTGCGGTCCCCATTAACTCGAATAATCGGGACTCTACTACTTTCGGATTTTAGAAATATTCGTGTGGTGCGCAGTCCACATATGCTATCATTTTCACGTTAATCAATGAACTTACTTGTCGTAACAATTTAAAAATGAATTAGTAAAGAATTTGCATTAAACTGCACTTTGATGAACCCTTTAATAAGCCATTTATTTCTAGTAAAGGTAAATTAAAGTATTTTTGGAATTAAAATTGTTAGAAGAATAGTAATTGATATAAGAAAAAAAAACTCATTTAGTTCATAAAAATGCCATTTGTTTGGTGGTAAATATATTTAAAACGTCCTATTATGAACTTATTGACTTTTATTTATAAAATAAATTTTCTAACTGCTACAAACTTCAAAAGAAATTATGTATTTTATAAATTTTATACGTTTTTTTTTTAAACTAACAAATGGTTATCAATTTTATTCAAACGCACTTCATGAAAGCTGAAGTTATTAACAAATGGAAACCTAAATTAAAAGTGGTGGTAAGTATACTTCCCACGGCCTTCGAAATATTTTACGTGAAATATGTTTAACACAATAAAATTTAAGTTAATTGGCTATTATAAATATATTTAACGGACACATCTTCTTTTTTTTATGTGTTCATAAGCAAATAAACCAGAATCATATCAGTTTGATTGTTCAAAGGCCGTTCAAAAATTGCTTAATCACCTAACGATGGTGAATGCTTGTAATTTTTCTTACAATGTAGGAGAAAGGGTATGAGCAATGGCTACATAAGACATCAAAATCCTTTTTTTAAATTTTCGAAAAAGCGAAATAATTGAAAAAATGTTACAAAAAATTACGCACGGAAAAATTTGGATTACAAATTGAATTCAGGGAAAGAAAAAATTAGAAAAAAATTTCTTAGAAGAGTTTCAGAAATAAAAAGATTTTTGCAAGGAAAATAAAATGTTACTAATAAATATTCTATTCAATATTTTATAAAAAGAATTGAAACATATATATATTTTTTATGCTTCCTTTATTTGAATTTTATCTAAAAAAAATTAGCTTCATAAAGTTAATCTAAAAACAAAGGAGCAAAATTTGTAAGCTAGCAACCATCACTGTTATTATTATTTTTTTTTAAAAATTAGGAAAAGAAACAGATTTATCTATAATTTAATTTATATCAATGGCTAAGCTAAACCAGAGAAATTTCCATTCTTTAAATATCCCTGTAAAGAATCTAATTAAAATTTTTGAATTATTTTTAAGATCGGGAGCTAAAATTTCTCTTTTCACCCGCTATTTAAATTGCAGAACTATAGCACAAATGGTTCTGAAGTTATAAGAGAGAGACACACAGACAGACTTTTTCCTTTTATTATGATAGATAAGCAAACATGGAAGTGCTATTTTACTTTTGGAATCCCGGTGATGCGTTTGTTGGCAATAAAAGTATCCTTCATAAAAACGAAAATTACGAGACGTCTTTCTTCGTCATTGAACTTGTCTGGAGTAACAACAAAGCATCATAAAGTCGTTATTACTTTTGGACGCGTCAGAATTAGATTTTTAACACTCACTGGAAAAGTTTCTACCTATTCAATTGAAAGACATAAAAAAAATATGAATGTAGCAATATGCATGCCCAAAAATAAACAACGGATATAAAATTGAAAAAAGTGCGCCTATTTTGTGGACAGTATCTAGATTCGTTTTCTGGTTCGTTGTACCTAGACACTTGATATTTAATTGTTATTTCTTCATTTTTAGCGACACAGTTTAAAGTTATAAATTTTTTGGTGACAGTTGTTGTTTTTGTCTGTGTCATAAACCGGAATTTTAGAGTAATAAAAAGGTACTATTATAATAATAAAACCAACAACAATTGTAATAAAAAAAATGTTTATAACTATAGGAGAAAAACATTCAAATTTTAAAAGGCAAATTACCTAATACTAAATAGATTGCTTAAACATTATTTCTTCCCGGAACAGCAAATTTAGATTAAAAATTTCAGTCAGGCAGGATATTAGCAAGTGCGACCTCGAAGAATAGTGGTTGCTAAATATTAAAAGCAATTAGTTTTAAATTTCGAGTGGTCAGTAGCAGTTTGTTGAAAACAGCTTGCATCATTTGTGGACATGGCAAAACTGATACGGGAATGCCACAATCAAATATAAAAGTAAAAAGTGGTAGAAACTCAATCCACTTTTATCTATTTATTATCTCTTAAATTATCCAATCGTAACTACCACTACAATGACTTAAATTTCAAATTATTTATGTTTAAGGCAAAAACATTCTGTACTTTCACTTTCAATGGTAAAGTAAAAAATATGCTATAAATAGTTATCTAGTTTTAACTTTCTATAATGAAGTTTTGAATTTTCTCAATCAGCCGTTTTAAGTAACCTATGGCAAATCTGCTGTCAGCACACTTTGAAGCATCATGCTTGAAGCTTTTAGTAATGGTGTCATTTATGCCCTTGCAAATTTCGTATCTTCCAAAATGAGGAAAGGAAGTTAATAATGTCTTTCTAGATTTTAAAAAAAAAGTTTTTTTAGTGCTCCTCACACTATTGTATTAATATATTTTGCTTTGGCTATATTGATAAAATATTGGAAAGCACTCTTTTTTGCGGATATAANTCACCACTATTCTTACAAAAATTAAGCACATATATTAATATGCGTTACTATCATGGTTGTCAACTTATGTTTGCTCATATACCACGTATTTGTTTGCTTAAAATTGAAGTTTTAATTCCATTTTAATACCACTGGGAAAAATGATAATGGAAGGGATTAAAAGTTGGCAGGTATGTAATAATCTTTACGCTCGCAATTTTCAACGGGATCAAAATATAAATATATTTTCGAATCAGATTAATTTTCGGTTATTGTTTTACAACCACTCTGAAAATCCATTCTCGGAAGGAGTGAAAGTTGGCAGGTATGATTTACTACCACTTTAAATATGAAAAATAAAATCTTCCGGAAGAGTTGGCAGATATGAAGTTTGAATTTTCTCAATCAGCACTTTTTGCGTTTTAAGTAGCCTACAAGGCTGAAAGCCTTTATATAGCAAGACGGTAAAGAGAAAAAACTGGTACGTAAAACATTTTATTCCAGCATTTTTTTTTTCAAAAGAATAAAATATCTATAACTATCAAGATTTCTTTTATAATTTTAGCATATATATGAAATTGCTTCTTTTCCAAGATAAAGTGGATTTTGCTGGATAGTTTAAAAAAGAATAAGTAAACTCCTCCCAAAAACTAGCTATAACCGAAAAGGTTTTACTACCAGCCTTCCCTCTTTTCCGTCTCGCTTTCACCCCTGGTAGCCTATGGCAAATCTGCTGTCAGCACACTTTGAAGCATGATGCTTGAAGCTTTTAATAATGGTGTCATTTATGCCCTTGCAAATTTCGTATCTTCCAAAATGAGGAAAGGAAGTTAATAATGTCTTTCTAGAATTTAAAAAAAAAGTTTTTTTAAGTGCTCCTAACACTATTGTATTAATATATTTTGCTTTGGCTACATTGATACAATATTAGAAAGCACTCCTTTTTGCGGATATAGTCGTGTGAGCTGATGAAAAGATTATATCTTTTATTTTCCGGATTTTTATAATTTTTCTTTTTCCCTTTTTTCATTGTTCTGTAGTTTGTTTCATGTTTTCTCTACATTTTGAACTTAGTTTATGAGTTCTATTTCCTTGCAGCTTATGCGCAGTATATAAAACTTACTGTTTTTCTTAATTTTCTTCGTTTTTTTTTCTTTTTGCATACCCTCCAACTTATGAGGATTTTGAAAATAATTCTTTCTAGTGGTAGCGAACCAAAGTAGAAATTTTTAAAGCAAATGAATCTCTCATAAAACTTTTATTAGAACTTAAGAATCTAGCCGTATGCCCTGCACTTTTATAAGTAATAGTGGACAAGTTACGCTAAAATTAATTTTTTTTAAATATTAAGACATTCATTTTGCTACCGTCTGAAAAGAAGAATTTTGAAACTACGGAAATTCCGTAGCAGTTGGAGGGTATGTTTTTGTCCTTTTTGTATTGATTTTTTATGCTATATATAACACATGGATCAATAAGTCCCGAGACTAACAATGAAAACAACATTTTTTTTGCAAAATTTTTTTTTATTCATCAACATAATCACCTTTTAGGGTGATACAATCGTTCCAACGCTTTTCCAATTTTTCAATACCATGTTTATAAAAAAAATTATCTTTCGCTTCAAAATAAGCTTCAGTTTCTGCGATGACCTCCTCATTTGAGCCAAATCTTTTTCCCTGGAGCACTTTTTTAAGATCAGCAAAGAGCCAGTAGTCACTGGGGGCTAAATCTGGCGAGTATGGGGGGTGGGGAAGCAGATCAAAGCCCAATTCGTTCAATTTTGCCATTGTTTTCACCGACTTGTGGCAGGGTGCATTGTCTTGGTGAAAAAGGATTTTTTTTCTCTGCATGTGCATGTTACGTAACGACGCAAGAAATCTTTTTTATTGCGAGTAAATAGCGATAAACAGCTTTCTGAATCATTGACTCGTTGCTGTTTTTGTTCCATCGAAAGCAATCGCGGCACCCACTTGGAAAAAACCTTTTTCATGAAGGATAGTAAATACACTTCCATATGATATCTGTGTCATCTCAGCAATCTCACGGAGCTTCACTTGACGATCTTTCATTATAATTTTTGTCACTTCACTCACATTTTCCGGTGTAACGGCTTCCACAGGTCTACCCGAGCGTTCCGCGTCATTTGTGTCGGTACGACCACGTTTAAACTCGGCAAACCACCGACAAATCGTTGCTTTTGATGGACAAGAGTCCGGGTAACATTTGTCAATCCATTGTTTCGCTTGCACGGTGTTTNAAATATATCATTTGAAATTAATATTTATTTAGTAACTATTTAAGATTTTACGAGAATTCGTTGCACAGTCTAGCTCTCAAGAATGTTTAGAGTCTTAGTCGTAGTCGAACAATATTCCATTGGCTTCAAAACTAAGTATGAGTTCATAACAGAAAAATAATGAACTTTTTAATTTCTGGCATTTAGTAGGCGTTGATAAACTTCTAAAACTTAAAATTGAAAAGTCACATTTTAAAGTCGTTTTATCAAGAAAATAATCCCACTTTTAAATAACATTGTCTTATTATAATCTGAATGAATAATCTGTTATGATTAATAAAATTTCATTTGCAGATGTCTTCCTTCAAAGAGAATACAATATCCTTTGGTGGTTATGATTTTACTCTTCATCATTACAACAGTAATTGTTTTCATAAATACCGATAACAGTAAGTATGCATTCTGTGAGAAAACTATTATTTAATATTTAGTCGTTAAATAATTTCTACTGTCCCCCAAATTCATGAAAAGTTCCAAACATGAATTCGTTACAGCTATTCTATTTTTTCTTTTATAACTGTCGTTGAACAACCAACTTAATTTTGAGTTTGCGACTACCAGTGTTCAACTCCATAGTCTCGTTATTTATTGAATCCAATCCAGAAGACAAGGGAACTCCTGGATCAAGCATTGGGAGAAATTTGTCCTTTAGGAGGTTTTTTTTTTTATGGAACTAACCCTTACTTGCCTAACGATGAGAAGAAAACCGCAGAAACATCCCAAGATTAGCTTGACTGACCTGTGGACGGTGCGAACCGGGAGTGGAATTCATATCGACGAGCCATTGCTGAGATTCGAACCTCGGGCCCCTCAGTGGAAGGCGATCGCTCTATCCCCGGTGGTATGGCTAAGTTATCATTATTTTTTTTAAAAACCATCATTGAAAAGCCGACCTAATTTAGGGTTTACAACTATCAATGCTCAACTCCGTAACCTTACAATTTTGAACCCAATCCAGAAGACAAGGGAACTCCTGGATCAAGTATTGGGAGAAATTTGCCTTCGTGATGGAACTAACCCGCATCTGTGTTACATGGAGAGGAAAAGCTCCCACGGTTAGCTTGGCGGTAAGGGGACTCTAACCCATGATCTGTCTATCACTGAGGATATTTTACGTCAAAATTAATGGAGAAATGATACTAATTCAGTTAAGAGAAGAAGAAAAAACGCCAAACTATTATTGATGCTGATTATGGTTACTTTATTACTTATTAAAATTAGTACTTATTAAAATTATCAATAACCGATGTCATAAAAAGCAAAATTAAAGAAGAAATGATACTGATTCGCTTAGGAGAAACGTAAAAAATCGCCATTTTATTACTGACGCCAATTAGTTTAGGTAATAGGCTCTACTGGTTTTATGGTAATTGGTGGAATTTATGGGATCGAGTAAAAATAAACTCACTAACAAAATTAAAAGTGAAAAAAAGAGTTCTAAAAAAATAATCAAACAGCAGCGGTCGTCATAGCAGCGGTCGTCATAGCAACGCATGCAATGACGACGCCTGCGCACTGTTTACTATTACTCTTGATGTAGTTAAAAAGTGTGAGGACGCCATCAATCCAAACCAACACCCATTTTGCCGATGCGTAAAAAGAGAGAGCATTCCAAGAGACAGAAGCAAGAGATAGATTTCTTAGAGACTAAGAGGCAGAATAAACAACGATTAAAGAATAGAAATTTACAAGCAAGAATTTTAAACTACTTCATTCATATTTTTTAAAATATGAAATGATTCAAAGGAATCCATATAATTGGAAAAAAAGTAGTGTTGGACAACTTTTGTCTCAAAAACTGATGCGTAGAATTCTAACAATATTGAGGAATGGAAAAGCTTTCATTACCTTAATTTACTTTGACATGTTCCTTAAGTCCAAGTGTGAGAATTCGTTTGATTTGGCTTTCATAATTAAAACAACATTGGCGATGGAATTGGTAAGTTTCACAGCTTTTTGTCAGCAGTGGCTAATTTTAGAATAATTTTTTTTAAGATTAAGTGAATTATGATAACTTTTTAATTATACTACCTTAAATATACATTAATTAAGCGAATATTAATTTCTGCTTCAATTTTTTTATATAGTATACAAATCTTGTAAACTAGTTAAAAGTCTTTCTCTGTACACATTGATAATTTCCTTACGATTAAAGTTTTATTGAACTGTGAATCTCTGGGTAAAAAATAATAATTCGTTCACTTAATTTCAGGTCAAGACACGTTCTTTGCTGTTACAATAGCCATAGTGGTTGCAATAAACTGTAAGTCATTATACATTTTTTTTTGTATAGTTATAATAGTAATTGGAACGCAATTCTCTAAAGTTCCAAAAATAAAAATTATTATTGAATTTTTTGGAAATTGAAATACTATTACTTAGAAAATAATGAACTTCATAGCACGTAATTGCTTTGCTAAAACAATTTTTTTTTATTTATATCTTTTCTGGCAATGCCATAATAAATTAAGATCTAGTTCAACAAAATGCATAGGAACAAACGTGCAATTTTTTAGTACTTACAATAGAATTCTGAACAATTTAAAAAACGAAGCTTATGTTATAACGTATTTAATTTTTCACTTTATTTGAAATGGGTGTTGAAACAATATTATTGACCTCCTTAAGAATGTATAAATTTCCTGAAATGCAGACCTCCCTGTAAACTGATACGACCTGCGGCTCGTTACAACTCTGATAATCTTTATTAAGAACAAACATAGATCGAAAAATAAGACATAAACTTTTATTTTCAAAATCAAGTTTATCAACATCTTATCTTTTGTTTCAATTTATAAATTTCAATCCATCGCACTGGAAATGCAAATCTAAAATATTTAACCTCTTCGAGACGGGCGAGTCATATATGCATTCTCAGGGTTTCGATAATCAGGGTAAAAAAGATATAACTGGTAGTTAAACTATTTTTATAGCAGTTCATTTGTGGGCGGGGTAATAATAGATTGCTTTATTTAATTCACCACTACTAAGTTCGAAATAAAAATTGTATAGTTACACTTTGAACTAACATTGATTATATATATGATTAAGGATTGGAGTTGTTAGATTTAAAGTGAAAGCAAAAATAAGTCTGTCTAATTAGCTATGCCCAAACTTAAGCAACAGCTTTTTATTTTTTTCTATCCTGATTCTGATTCCGTACGAATTCATTTATGACTCAATCGTTCCGAAAAGGTTAACAAGCAAAGGGGAACACTCCTCCATGTTTATAGAAATTTTTATCGAAAAATCCTTGTTAAAGGGAAATTTTTAACAAATACTACTCTGTTGTTAAGCAGCTGGGAAGAATTTAATAAAATCTTTTGATTTGTCCCCGCTGATGACAGATTTTTCTCTGGGATTGCTAAACATGGACATGGATGCCGGCACACAGATCAGCGCCTATGTCCCCAGAGGCGGCATCTATCAGAAAGAAATACTGTGGCCAGGAAAACAGACAGTTACAACAGCGGCATACCACGCTTCCCCCGCACGAGCCGACCCTAGCATTCGCAACGTCACCAGAGCTAGGCCCAACATCTGCCCTCATCTCCCGTCAGGATCCTTAAATTTATTGTTTATTTATTACTATACAAATTAGAGAAACAGATATTATCAAACATGTAACTATAATAGAATATTGATTATTAACATTTAAGACCTGCACATGTAAAAAAAATGTTTTCCCTAAATATCGCAGAGGATCCTATGCATAGAAGGTCAAGAGTTTTATAGAAAGTGAGATCCATTCAGCGTATGTTAATATCTTTTTTTCATATTCCAGCTATGTGTGGCTTCGTTCAGGGTGGTGGAACAGGTATAGCTGGCAGCTTACCGAAAAAGTACATGGGCTATAACGTCAATGGCATGGCAAGTAATATCATAGTTATTTGTTATTTTTCTTACCTAAAATACACTACTCGTTATTTCTTAATAATAAGTTCTAATACTTAAATAATATATAAAAGGATAGGATACTATACTGATAATCCTTATAATAAATCATAATTTTTTAAACCTTTTTTTCAATACGAAAAATAGTCAGAATTGGGTACATTTATTTTGATAAATTAACAACTTTTATTTCTAAGAATTATTTTCTGAAAATAATTTTATATATCACTATTTTTTTCAAATGTGTGAACATTTGAAATTATAATTAATGTAATTGTTCTCCAAAAAAGAAAGAAGCTCTTAAAAGTGGCATTTTTCTTCTAATGGCACATTTGTTGTTTCTAATCCCCTAGTGGTCCAGCACAATTAGTTCCATTCCATAAGTCCACGAGCTACCAGAAAATCTTAAAACAGAAGTGGATTTGAAAAAAAAAACTGATCCAACTTAAAATCAATACAATTTAAAATATTTTCGGGCTTCCTTTAAGTCTTTACTTTAAAATCCTACACTACACTAAATCTTAATTAGAAGTCTTTTATCTTTTGTAACTAGGAGAGACACATTAGGTGACCACTGATCATTGGCAAAGTGTGATATCCAAGTTTGCTGGCTTCTAAGTCCCTCAAAATGCTGGGTATCCACAGGGCAAATGACACAATTACAAGGAGTTGCGAAAACACTGCTCTTAATATACCTTTTTAGAATATTTGTGTTCTGTTTATTCGAGTTGGTCGAAAATATGTTAACCCTTTCCCGTGCTGTGCCAACGCCTCATATAACTGAAAGCCTCCACACGGTTTTTTGTAGGTAGTCCGATCGGACCACTATGAAGGTAAACCAATTATGCTTGATATGCTTGGAATCTCGGCGTTAAGCGCTTCTAACCGATTCATCTATAATGTTTTGTCATTTAGACTAGAGGTCATATACAGTTCTAAGTTAGGATCAGATAATAAGTCCATGATGAGGTGAGGCATGAGTTGATTTCAGTAGTACATCAGCTGGATGGGGAAATCCCCTGGATTAAACTTGTGAGGTGATGCAGCACGTCTTGGTCCTTCAGCAAGTCTTTAAGTTCACTGATGAGGCTAACAAGTCTGTGGGCTGTAGAAGTAGGCGTGTCCTTGGTCGTTTTCCTCTTGGGAGGCCTCGGTAAACCAATTAGTGAAAGAACCATTTAATATGAAATCTATTGAAAATTAGAAAGTGGTAGCAAATATATGTCTAAAAATTTGTTTAATTTAAGTATATGATTGGTTTGTTTTATTTGCTTATCAACCGCTACAGATTCAATTCTCAAATATACATGATAAATTTCTCTCAAGTAGTTTTACAATAGAATTTGGGTTCATACGCACAAGTGGCTCGCTTTTTAAATAATCTGCGCAGACTACTTATAAGACACCGTGAGGAGCTGATGTAGGAGGTGATGGCTGTGCAGTCAGTCTGGCAATGCTTATCCAAAAAAAACACAAGAAATGTAAAACTAATTGCTTTTAAACGTTTAGCAACCACTATTCCTTAAACAATGGAGAGCTAAGGTATGTTGCTTCACTTAATATGTTTTGTTTAAGGTCGTACTTGCTAATGTACTGCCTAACTAAAATTTTCAATCGAAATCTTTTCGTGGGGAAAAGTTATCAATTATTTAGAGGTAAACAAAATCTTATATCTCCGAATTGATATCTTCTGCTGCCTGAATGGAATACTTGCAAGTGACGTAGTATGGTTATCTCGATCCTGATTGGTAGTCGAGACGTGGCATTTGTTCACGTTAGCAACTGTTCCTTGCATTCTATTTCGAGTAAGCCAAGTCCCTCAAGTATCAGTTCACTTAAGTGATACATTCTATATTCTTTCAGGGAGATTTTTTCACAAAGATTTCAATTCTTTCACTATATATTTCTTACTTAACACAAAAACTGGCTCGAAGCCATGTAGAGCATAAACTTATTAAGGATCGAAGTTGCCAGGTACACAAATTTAAAATATATCACAGCTACAATAAAATATATAAACAAATAATAAATCTAAGTTAAAGACGTAGACGAGAAAAATTAAATTTCAACAAATTCAATGTGCGATACGACGCTGTATTTAATTAACTTTACATTAACATTCTAACTTGTGTGGAGAGACTTAGCCAACGCCTCCTATAACTGAAAGCCTCCACACGGTTTTTTATAGGTAGTCCGATCAGACCACTGTGAAGGATATCCACTTACAGAACGAGTCGTTAAATACAGAATATAGTTAAAATTAGAAAGTGGTAGCAAATATATGACTAAAAATTTATTTTATTTATGAATATTATTAGTTTGCCTTATTCACTTGTCAACCACTACAGATTCAATTCTCAAATATATAAGATAAATTTCTCTCAATTACTTTTATAAAAGGTTTTGGGTTCATGCGCACAACTGGTTCACTTTTTAAACAGTCTGCGCGGACTACTTATGAAAGACTGTGAGGAGGCTTCTTGATGTAGGAGGTGATGGT